TAATGTTTTACATTATTTCCTATACTAAATTCTGGGGCAGAGGTTCTTCATGTATAAAGTGAAACTATTTTTTCAGGAGACTGAACTCCTTGAGGACATATATTTTATTAATCTTGTATCCATAATTAGGTAACTAATCTGATCTAATATGATGTCTGGAACTTAAAATATGTTTTAATAAAATAAAGTTTTATATCAAAGTATAACACTATCTCAAAGACTTACTAATTAATAATCTTTTATTTTTTCTATACTCACCCAAGGACATTTTTTCATTGCTTTTTAGAGAGAGGAAGGGAGAGAAACATCAATGTGAGAGCAACATCAACTGGTTGCCTCCCCCACACACCCAGACCCAGGATTGAACCCACAACCTAGGTAAATGCCCTGACAACAACCTTTTGGTTAACACGGATGATGTTCCAACCAAGTCAGCCACCCAGGCCAGGGACGTCATTATATTCTTTACACAGTATTTGGAAACCATCTAACTATCCAACCAGGAGAAAAATGGTCAATCATGGTGCAGGCAAATGGTGGTGGAATATTAAAAAGTATAGTTTCCAAAGAATATTTAAAAGAGCAAAGAAATGCTCATGATATAACGTTAAGTGGAAAAGGATACCTGTACACACACACCATTTATTTCCTTCTTAAAAATCATGTGCATAAAAATAAAAATCATGTGCATATACATCACGTGCTCAAGCACAGAAAAGACACTGTTAAGAACTCATTGTTTTAAAGGTGGTTATTCCCAACAGTAAGAATCTAGATAAGTTTTCTTTTCTTCTACTCATGTTAATATATTTTCCAAGTTTCCACAATGAACATGTGTTTATTTATTTATTTTAAAGATTTTGTTTATTTTCGAGAGAAGGAAGGGAAGGAGAGAGGGAAAAAACATCAATGTGTGAAAGAAACATCAATTGGTTGCCTCTTGCACATGCCCCAACTCAGGACTGGGTCTCAACCCAGGCATGTCCCTGACTGGGAAACAAACTGGTGATCTTTCACTTTGCTCAACCAACTGAGCCATGCTGGTCAGGGCTGTATTCTTTTCTTAAAAAAAAAAAAAAAATTACTAAAACTTGCAATATTACCGATTAAGGAGGCGACAGTTTGACCACACTACCACCACGTGAGGCATTACCATTTCTGTTTCCAATTTTGTCTAATCTAGGAGTAAGATGGCATCTGATGTCTTATAAAAGTCACTTCGTAAATAGAGAAAGAGACAGTATCAACATTCTTTCTGGTTCCTTAGAAATTGATCACATCTGAACTCTACAGCCCTGCAGAAGTCCCTTCAGCTGGAAGCTCACAAAGGTAAGCAACAAACATAATATTTGGCTTCTGCTCTAACACTGAGATATGGTCACCTAAAACAAATTAAGGACCCTTAAATCTCCTGGTGGGAGGAAACAAATATTCAAGATTCCCAATTTTACAAACAAAAATTAAAAAGGTACACTCTGATTAAAATAAATAATGGTAAAACCAAACCCTATAGATCTGGGCAGTCCAATACACAAGCCACCAGCGACATATGGTTAAACTTAAATTGTTAAAACTAAATAAAATTAAAGCTCCAATTCCTAGTCATACTAGCCACAATTCCAGTGCTCAACAGCCACCCACGGATAAGAGCTACTGAACTGGACTGCGTAAGTACAAACATCACTAACATAGCAAAAGTTCTGCTTAAACAGATGTTGCTGAATGCACGGGGTGGTTTGGGGGGAGCCCATCTCACTATGTATGTAAACAAAACTTGTAATTAAGTGAAGAATGCTTATAAAATCGTATAAAAACCTGAAGAATGGAAGATCATTTCTCTTTTGGTCAAACCTGTGAAAGAAAGATTATGCCTATAACTTACATCCGCTTTTGCTTTAATACCCGCAAGGCTTTTTGCTTGACCATATTCTGAGGAGAAAAAGAGATTTTAATGAAAAGAATTAGAAAACATACATATAGTGAAAGAAATCTCCCAAATCCCAAAATGTACATATCTATGTCCTCTCTTTTTCAAGGCAGCAGATATAGTAGCTCCTGGATTGTTCTTCACCTCCCCAGCCCAGTCTTTAAGCCTCAGCTCATCTCCACCTTTGCATCCCACATCTCAGTGTATGAACTGCCTGCCTTTTTCCTGGAGCATATTAGTTCCACCCCAGCTCCAACAGTGTTGATTTTTTTATATCCATTTCCCTTAGGAGATTCCCAACTCGGACATCCTGCTAACCACTCAAACTCAACATGCACAAACTCCTCAACCTTCCCTCTCCTTAGAGATTACTATCAACAGTCCTATCCATCTCTCACTTTTCTAGGTCGAGAACCTTTACATCCTCCTTTCCTTTCCTCTCTCTGTTGTCTCTTCACCAGTCATCTTGTTACTGATTTTCAGAACTCACTTTCATATTGATTCATGTCATTTTCATGGTTACCCCATGGTTCAGGCTTTCATCTCAAATCTAAATGAGCTTTTCTGCCTCTGGTCACTCTTCATTCCAAGTCATCAACTAAGATGGCCGAGAAAAGCCCCTTGTCACTTTCCTTTCTATACTGCTCCATAAATCATTTTATTTGTCTCCTTCACTGAAGAAGTTAAAGCAGATATTACTTCACAGTCAATAATAATATCAAACATTTACTGAATGTTTCTATGTACTAGACACAGTACTCTGTAGATTACATGAATTATCTCATTTAATCCTCACACTGTAATGTAGATTTATTCCCATTTAGATGGCAAAATTGAGGTTCAGTGATGCTAAGTAACTTCCCTAGCTCAAATAGTTAATAAATTATAAAGATGGAAGCAAAGAAGGTACATATCCACAGTCCATGCACTTTAATACAGTACTCTTATGTTTCTACCCAACAGAAAGGGACAATAAGAAACTAAGTGACTTTATCAAGGCATAGCTAGTAGGTAGTGAAGGTGTTAATAGAACACTGGTCTCCAGGCCCTAGCTAGGTACAGTTCAGTTGGTTAGGGTGTCATCCCAAAACACCAAGGTTGTGGGTTCAGTCCTTGGTCAGGGTACATACAAACATCAACTAATGAATGAATAAATAAATAAATAGAACAACAAATTGATGTTTCTCTTTCTTCCCCTTTCTAAAAAATTTTTTTTAATTAATTATAAATAAATATATAGAACACTGGTCTCCAGATGCCTAATTTAGCACTCTTTTTCCCAGTATGCCACTCCTTGATCAGGCTATTACACCTATCTACTAACATGACCAGCCTGGCAACTCATTATTCCTGAACATTGCCCTTCTCTCCAGATTGCCACTTTCTCAATAAAATATGCTAATTCCCACATACATGCTTTTGGACATGTGATCAGTGTCTTCTCTCTAAAAGGTCAAACCACAGTCTCCTTCTCTTATCTGGCTGCAAACTCTCTTCCCTGAAGGATACACCCTCATGTAGGTTTTCTCCTTACCAGACAGTGCTGCCTTCTATACCAGCCCCTACTCCCACAGGTGCTGAAGTCAGGCTGTCACAGCAGCTGCTGACTACTTACCTTTGCAGGACCCTCTCTCATCTTCTTGATCTGATCCTTGTACTTCACTAGTTCAGCATCCAGTCGAGAAATCTTCTTGTCAATGGATTCTGCTCTGCTGTCCACCTGGTGGGGGGGGGGGAATCAAAAGCAGTTGTAGCTATATACTTACATAAGGGGCAGCAAAGGGAAAAATATGGAGGAAGAAAAATGAAAAGGATTACATGGTGAAGGGTAGAAAACTGTGATTCCCAAGGCGGGTGGGATTCCTACAGAAACATTGGGGGACCCCCCCCCCGATTCTGATATTCCAGGATCTCCTTCAAGTACTTTTGGGCAGAAAAATAATTTGAGACTCACTAGGCTAAGCTGCAATTTCTCTGGAATCAGAAACCTGTCAGGCTGGGGACGCAACCAGGAGGTATGTGAAACGAGTAAGTGTCCAGTGGACCCTGGGTAGGGCTGTAGATCTAATGCTGGTGGCTTAATGTGGAGCACCAGGGTTGTGAATTCTGTTACTGAGATTCAGGGTCCGGACACAGATTTGTTAGCCTAGGATATCAAGCCTAGGATATCAAGCCTAAATTAATTTAGGACCCTAGGATATGGGTCCTAAAGTGAGAGAAGGAGGAGGGATGAAAGAGGGGTAAGGGGTCGGGCTGGGCGAAGTGGAAACAATGTATGGGCCTACGGCTAGCTAGTTTAAAGGGATAAGGAAAGAGCAAGTGGGCGCGGCAGTGGACATCAGAAGGGGTCGGGGGCCAGTTAGGGAAGGCAGTGATGGGTCAGGGGTCTCCGGTTTGTGGCGTCAGGAATGACCTGAGTAGCAGGAACGAAGGTGGAGTGAAAAGGACCGGGGTGTAATGGGCCCGGGCCCAGGACCAGGAATAGAGTAGAGGAGTAGGAGCCGGGAGCTGGGGTAGTAGGTGGGATGAGGAGTTTCAGAGGCTCCTAGCCTAAATAAGTGGTTAAGCGCGCACCGTGCCAATGCAGTCAGTCAGGCTGGGCGGCGGAGCCTTGGGTTTCGCTTTCCCGAAGATTCGGTTCATCTTGACCGGCCGCGAAGAAAATCCAAACACTGGAGCGAAGACCACAAACGGAAGTAGAGAACCTCCACCTCCGCCTTGACTTCCGGCTCCCAGTGCGCAAACGCACTGTGCTTACTGGAGTTTCCCGATCCTTTCTCCGGGTTTTCAACACGGCTGTCCAGGGAAGGAAAGCTCCAGGAGGTTGGTGGTGTTAGATAGAGAGTCAGCGTGGGGTGTGGCCACGCTCGTTGGTAGGGAGGCGTGGCTTCAAATCAGCAAGGCGGGGCCTCATCTGAGTGGGTGGGACCCGGGGGCGGCTTCCCCGGTATTGGGCGGGGTAGAAGCCGGGGTGGAATCCGAGGGGCGTGGCCGGTAGGCCGGAGCAGGGGGAGACCGGGAAGTAACGCCGCGGGTTTGCCGGGAAGGGTACTCAGCTCCCACCGCTGGGTGAGCAACAAGTGCGGGTCTGGCGGAGCGTGGAGGCGCGCGGAGACCGAGAGGCGACCGGGAGCGGCTGGGCCCCCGGCGGCGCGGCCCTCGGCAGGGCCGAGAGTCGCGTCAGTCGGTGCCCCCGGCCGAGCGCGGTCCGCCTCCCTTTCAGCGGCCTTCCGTCCGGAGTGCGGCCAGGGGGCATGTCAGATCCACCAGGGGCGCCGCCGCCGGCGCTCGCAGGCCGCGGGTGAAGAAAAAAGTGCGACTTCACCCGGCCCAGAGCGAAGAGGCGGCCGGAAGCGAAGAGGTAGTCGGGAGCGAAGAGGTAGTCCGGAGCGAAGAGGTGGTCCAGAGCGAAGAGGTGGCCCCAAGCGAAGAGGTGGTCGGGAGCGAAGAGGTGACCGAGAGCAAAGAGGTGGCCCAGAGTGAGGAAATGGCGACAGCTGGACTCAGCATGACCGTCACCCACAGTGAGCACGGGTGTCCGGGTTGGTTCCGTGCCGCGAAAGTCTGGCAGGGTCTAGCGGTTTGGCACGTGTTCTCTGGAAGCGCTTGTCCAAGTGTTTGTCCTGGCGTCCGGAAGTGTGGGTTCTTGTTCGTGTCCGCGGAACGGGTTTTTTGTGGGTCTCTGTCAGCACACCTTTCTCTGTGGCTGCAGTATTTTGTTTCAGGTCATTTATTTGCTCTTCGATGTCGTACTTCACGTCGTAGTCCTGGTTGTGTATGTAAACCTGTGCCTGCACAGTTACTGTGGGTCTTTGTGTCAGGCTTGTATTGGCCCATGCGTATGACTGCTGTGTGTCCGGACATCTATGTGGATGTCGAGTCAGAACCCATGTACACTGTTTGAGTGAGCTGTGGGTCCAAGCATGCACCCTGGGCACACTTTGGCTCTGCCTGCTGTAGGAGTTCACACAGACCAAAATGATGGCAATTCAACGGAGGGCTGAGCCCATGAGGTTTCCTCAGGACCAATAGTGGGAAACCCCAGGGCCTCAGAATCTGGAGATTTTAGATCCTGCAATTTTAAGTGACCTTGGGATGTCTCCTTGGTAGGCATCTGGTTTGTTCTCTGTCAATTAGAGTTGTTAACATCTGTCCCATTAACCTCACGGCTGTTGAGCAGGCTCAAGACTTCACCTAATACATGGTAAACAGGCTACCTCCTTACTACCCACCTGGAAAAGAATTGGCACCTCTGCTCCAAAAAAGAAATTTTTTGCTCTTTTGAGTTTATTCACTCGTTTGCCTATTTACCGATCACCAACTGTGTATGTGCCCAGATGTGCCCAGTGGGAGAGACCTGGAGGGAAAAAACAGTCCTTTGCCCATTATAGCAAAGGATACAAAGGTCAGTACAGTACAGAATAGAGGGCAGTCAGGCCACAGAGGCAGATGGCTTGTGATTAAAAGGGTGGACTTTAGACCTGGCTGGTGTAGCTCAGTGGATTGAGCGCAGGCCTGCAAACCAGAGGATCGCTGTACAATTCCCAGTCAGGGTACATGCCTGGGTTGCAGGCCAATTCCCAGCAGGGGACACGCAAGTGGCAACCGTGCATTGATGTTTCTTTTCCTCTCTCCCTCCCTTCCCCTCTAAAGATAAATAAATAAAATCTTTGGGAAAAAAAGGGTGGACTTTAGAATCAGATCCGTGGTCAAGTTATGACTCCACAGTTGGGTCTCCACAGACAGGTCTTGACTGAACTCACAGTTTGCTTATCTGTGAAATGGGCAATAATAGATAGAACCTACTTCATAGAGTTGTTCTGACAATTAAATAAGGTAATGCATAAAATGAGCCTGGTTAGCCTCTTGTGCATGTTAAGTGCTTAAATGTTAGCTGATATTACTGATGTTGTTAATTATAATAGAGGAAACAAAAATCCTTAAGCTGGGCAAATGGGGTCAGGGGCTGTTTGGAGTAGGTTGCATAAGAACTGGACCTTGAGGGCTGAAGGCTCTGTACTTATATATAATAAAGTGTCAGCTTACATTGGTTTATGTGGAAGAGTTTTCTTAGTTAAATGCTTTTCTCTCTCCCCAGGCAATGAGAAGTATGACCTACATGTTACCCCGCAGCAAGGCTGTAGTGAACCAACTGTCCAAGACCTGGCCCAGGTTGTTGAAGAGGCCACTGGGGTCCCACTGCCTTTTCAGAAACTCATCTTTAAGGGTAGGCATTTCTCTTCCAGCTTTAAGCCCTTATGACTAAAGGAACTGAGTAACTCTCAGTTCTCAAAATTGGATAATTCTTGTTTGCTGTTCATTTATTTATTTCTTCAGCAAATATTTATTGAGGACTTACTGTGTACTGGATACTGTCAAACATTTGGGCAGGTATTAGAGTTGAATCCACAAGAGGGTGGCAGAATCTTACCTTTTTTTTTTCTTAAAGCAAATACCCTTGTCTCGTTCTTAATTTTAGGGGAAAGGTGTTCAATCTTTTCTTAAGATTTTATTTATTTTTAGAGAGGGGAAGGAAGGGAGAAAGAGAGGTTAAGAAATATCAATGTGTGAGAGAGACAGTCAATCACAATCAATCAATTGCCTCTCATATGCCCCCAGTTTGAGACCTGGCCTGCAACTCAGGCAGGTGCCTGGAAAGGGAATCAAACCAGCGACCTTTCAGTTCGCAGGCAAGTGCTCAATTCACTGAGGCACACTGGCCAGGGCAAACACAGTAATTTTCAGTGCAACCTTATTCATAATAGTAAGAAACTGGGAAGAGCCAAAAATTAAGGAATGGGGCCAGATAAACTGTACATTAGAACAATAGAAGACTTCATAGAGCAGAAATCTTACATTTGTGATGAAGCACAGTCTACCCTGGCTGAGTTAGATCCTCTTCCCATTGTACATTCACTACCACTTTGGCATAACTTATATTGAAATTACTATTAAAATAATTGTTTTCAGAGTTGCTCAGTATCTGATTTTTCTGTTAGAATAACAAACTCTGTGTGGGTAGAGATACTACTGTGTGTCCAGTGCTTCGTATAGTGCTGACATAGAGGGTGATGGATGAACAAACTTACCAGGAGCCTAGCTGTGAAGGCCCACTGGGTGATGCCAGTTTCTGCCAGGACCTGTCCCCTCCATACTCCCATGTTTGTCTTTCCATTCCATGGGAACCCATTATTTTGGTATCTGGTGGGGCCAGATTTGTCTCATTTAGTGCCCATCATAAAGTACTTAGTGATGGCCTGGCTGGTGTAGCTCAGTGGATTGAGTGCGGGCCTGCGAACCAGACAGTCGCGGTTCAATTCCCAGTCAGGGCACATACTAGGGTTGCAAGCCGGTTCCCTGCAGGCCAGTTCCCAGCAGGGGACGCACGAAAGGCAACCATACATTGATGCTTCTCTCCCTCTCTCCTTCCCTTCCCCTCTAAAGATAAATAAAATTAAAAAAAAAATTAGTGATGGAAAGCATTTTTATTTATACTTCACAGTGTAACTCCTTGTTTTGGGTGGGGGTGGGGGGTTGTGCTTTTTTTTTATTTTAAAAAGGTTTTATTTAAAATTATAAAAGCACATTTCAAAATAGAGAAAACACAAAAAGAAAATGTTCTCCTGGATAAAACCCCTCATAACATTTCAGTGTATTTCTGTTCAGCTTTTTAGTTTGTTCTGGCATCTGGAAGTGCAGCTTCTTGTTTGTGGGCTTTTGTTGTTGTTTTTTTAATCCTCATGTGAGGACTTTTTTTTTTTTTTCAGTTCTTTTAGAGAGGAAGGGAGAGAGGGAAAGAGAGAAACAACAATGCAAGAGAGAAGCATCAGTTGGTTGTCTCCTATACACGCCCAAACTGGGGATTGGCACCCCGACTGGGGATTGAACCCACAACATAGGTATGTGCCCTGAGTGGGAGTCAAACCTGCAACCTTTTGGTTACAGGATGACACTAGAACTGACTGAGCCACACCAGCTAGGGCAGTGGTTTCTGGGGTTGTGTTGTTGTCGTTTAATTTGTTTTTAGTTGACAAAACTACGGTCATATTGATTATACAGTTTTTATAACCTTTTTTCCAGTAAACAGTGGGTCATCAATGTTTAGAGTAGCCTTGAAGTTTGCTGAAAAAATGAACTTTAATGCCTACAAAGTCTTCTGTTGTTCTGAAGTATAATTTATCAGGCCCCTACTCCTGAATTTTTGGCTCTTTCCAGTTTGTTATTGTAATGAATAAGGTCACACTGAAAATTATGTGTTTGCACTGGCCAGTATGGCTCGTAGATTGAGCGCTGGTCTGCAGATTGGAAGGTCACCAGTTCAGTTCCCTGTCAGGCCATGGGCCTGGGTTGCAGGCCGGGTCCCCAGTTGGTGGCCTGTAGGGAGCAACAGATGGGTATGTCTCTTATTTCTCTCACACATTGATGTTTCTCTCCCTCTCTTTCCCCCTCCCTTCCCCCCTTTCTGAAAATAAGTAAACAAATATTTTTTTAAACAAAGAAAATTATTATATATAACAGTTATTTTGCAGGCACATGTTCTGCTATTTGTTTAGGAGAATAGCTGAAGTGAAATTACTGAGTCAAGACCCTTCTAAAAGCCTTACACCAAGTTATCATCTTCTCATTAGTGAAAACACTTGTCTGTCTCTTTCCTGAAATCTGTTTTCAGTGTTGTACAATTGTTACAACTTGGCATAACTTTCTTCTCTTCAGGAAAATCTCTGAAGGAAATGGAGACACCTTTGTCTGCACTTGGACTACAAAATGGTTGCCGGGTCATGTTAATTGGGAAAAAGGTAAATTGCTTTTTCCACCAGAATACAACCGAATCAAATGACCGAGGTCTTTTCTGCATATTTCTGTGTAGAAGGCAAAATTGGGGACCCAGATTCTGCATTGGAGAAGCACTCTGAACAAATGTAGTCTCCACTGGTTTGGTGGGGCCACCAGTTTTGTTGTTCTTATGCCCTCTGGCTTCTGTCGGTGTGGGCTCTTGCTCTGCAGTTAGGCACAGTTGTGCCTCAGTAGCACAGTTTTTGCGTTGGTGGTGGAGTCTCAGTGTGGTTAAAAGGTGCCTAAGACAGGCCTTACTCATTTGGAGGGGATTTGCAAGAGAACATTTTGTTAAAATTAATCTGTAGATTTAAAAAGTAAATATAGGTTTTAGGCTCTCTCCCTTTAACCACCTTTTTTCTAAAGTTTCCCACAAGGGAAAAAAACTCTCTGGCTGGAAAGAAAGGTTTAGACTAAAGAATTAAGGGAGAAAAAGAGCCAATTGGTGACAGGTGAGGACAATAGCCTCGTGGGTGATGAGAGAGGGCCTGGCCAGTCCTGCATTGTGACCCAATGGAATTGTTGGTTACATGAAGTCCCCTTACTTTGAGTGAGGTGGCTGACCCAGAGTGGGAAGAGGGTGAGATTAGCAAAGTAGAGGCAAAGAAAATGTAGTCCGGACTTGGAACTTCTAGGAGATTGGCTCTCTGAATTTAGCCACAAAAAAGAATGCGAATAATTTGGAATAGTAAAAAGCAGGAAGATGCTGGCCCTGACTATCAATTGTTTAGGTAAGAGAAGGGTAAATAGTCTAGATTTCTTGCTCAAGGGTCAGAGAGAATAGTGATGGGCAATGGTGGAACCCAAATGTTGAGGTTGAAGAAGCTGTAGGACCCCTGTTAGGAGCTGTCCTGGCGTATGTAGAGCCAAATCTGACTCCAGTCTCAGCTCTGTTTCTTTTTGGCTCTATGACCTTAGGTTATAATAACCTCAATTTCACCATCAAAGCACCTACCTACCTCATTGGGTTTTGGTAAGGCTTAAAACAGTAACACTGGTAAAGTGCTCAGGATAGTGCCTGGCATAGAGGGAATGCTCAGTAAAAGTATTCATTATTGTCATGTTGGTGGATGGCATTTTGGAATTCTATGTAAAGGAATAGTAGAATTCCATCTACCTAGCCATTCTGGACTCTTCACAGGTCAGGTGTTATTCACCCTCCAGGGATCAGACTGGCTGTTGATGATCAACCCCAGGCTGAGGTTGAGCCTGGCTCCATTCTCTGAATCCAAGTTGTCAGGGTCTTGCCCAAAAACTTACCTAATACCTATTCTCTAGTCTGGAGTCTTTGTACATACCCTCTCTCTAGTCTAGTCTTTGTAGATAGAAAACCTAATATGTATCCCATCACTTGTTTTCCAGGAAGCAACAGAGTTAAGACTTTTGTTTTGGTGAGTGGTTTAGCCCGTTTGTGGCCAGACGTTTTTTTTTTTTCCTGACAGAGGATACTCTTCTTAAACATTCTGTTTTTTAAAAAGATTTTTTAAATTTATTTTTAGAGAGAGGGGGAGGGAGAGAGGAAAGAGGGAGGAAAGAAACATTGATATGTGAGAGGAACATCAAACAGTTGCCTCTTTCAGGTCCCTAATTGGGAACCGAACTCACAACCCAGGCATGTGCCTTGACCAGGAATCCAACCAGCAACCTTTTACCTTGTAGGATGATGCCCAACAAACTGAGCTACACTGGACAGGGCTGTGTTTTATTTGTTTGTTTGTTTTATTCTTAAACATTTTAGAACAGTCCAGAGGAAGAAGTTGAACTAAAGAAGTTGAAAGATTTGGAGAAGTCTGTGGAGAAGATAGCTAACCAACTGGAAGAGTTGAATAAAGAGCTTAGTGGAATCCAGCAGGTAACTCTTGGTGGACTTTGACTATTTATCTTCTCTAAGAAATTTGTGGAGATACAAATGTATGTTACAAGGGCAGGCTCTGTAGTCAGACTCTTTGGGTTCAGATCCTGGCTCTACCCTTTCTCTCACTGTGTGGGCAACTCTACCTTTGACTCAAGTTCCTCATCTATAAAAAGGAAAGAAGTTGATTCCTCCCTTTTAGGGTTGTCGTGATGATTAAATAATGTAGTTTGAGCCTGAGACATGCTAAGTGCTTTGTAAGTGTTATCACTGTTCTTTCCAAACCCCAGCCAGCATCCATTTGTGCGTCTGGGAGAGCACCCGCTGTGCCAGGATCACGTGTTGTATGAAATAGAATAGGTAACTTCTCTCCAAGTAGTCCAGCAGTTTTCAACCAGTGTGCCACAAGAATTTTTAAAACATGCAATGTCTGACTGTTTAGTCAGGGGCACTGACATCTTTTTCCTTAGCTTATCCAATAAAAAATGGCAACAGCTAACACAACAATAGCTGTCAGGTGTGAATAAATCAACATTATACGTATTTTTTGGTCAGATTAACAAAAAATAAATTTCTTGGTGTATACTACAGAATTTCATTTTGTTTTTCATCTTCATTTATTTATTTATTTAACAGCAGGGAAGGGAGGAAGAAAGAGGGGGAGAGAAATATTGATTGGTTGCCCCTCTCACATGCCTGACCAGGGACCAAACCCAAAACCTAGGCATGTGTCCCAACCAGGGATTGCACCGGTGGCTCTTTGCTTTGCAGGACAATGCCCAACCAACTGAGCCACACCGGTCAGGGCCAGAATTATAGTGATTAGTTTATGTGTGCCATGATGTAAAAAAGGTTGAAAATTGCTGGTCTAGGCTGATATAGTATGTTTAGCAAAGCAAAGAACATTTTGGACCTTCATAGAAGGTCCAACTTGACTGGATCTTAGAGGAGTAGTCATCCAATTCAATTTTTCTTTTAAAAAAAATTATTTATTTACTTTTAGAGGGGGGAAGGGAAGGAGAAAGAGAGGGAGAGAAACATCAATGTGTGGTTGCCTCTCACACCCCCCCTACTGAGGACCTGGCCCACAACCCAGTCATGTGCTCTGACAGGGAATTGAACTAGCAACACTTTGGTTCCCAGGCTTGCTCTCAATCCACTGAGCCACACCAGCCAGGGCCAATTTCTTATATTAGAGATGGAGTACTGAAACCAGTAAGGATTAGAAACAGTCCCAAACCATTTGTCTTTGGCATCATTTTATAACTTTAATGGATGCATGCTTGTGTTTTAATTACAAAAGTTATACATGCTGATTGTATGTAATGCTTAAGTAAGTATATGGGCATTAATACAGAAAATAAAAATTACCTGTAGTGCCCCAGCTCAAAGACAGCCAATATTAAAACCTGGAATCTATTTTTCTGTCTTTAAAAAAAATTGGTATGCTGTTACGCACACTTTGTAAATTGTTCATTAAAAATAATCATACTTTTCAAAACTTGCATAACATTCATTACATGTGAATGTAGCATGGTTTATTACCTAACCAATTCTCTGTTGTTCATCACTTAATGTTCTTTTACCATTTGGGGTAATGCTTCTTTGAAATCCTTAGATATAGATCTTTTTTGACTATTTCTGATTTTTTTTTTGTAGAATAAATTCTTTGAGTTGGCATTTCTGGCTAATGTGTACTACATGTTGTCATATTTGCATCCGTAACTGTCAGCTTTGATAAACACCCCCAGAGATCCCTGCTGTCACTAGCTAACTGGTCATTTGACCAAGTAATGTGAATAAACAGCCAGACCATTTAATAAAAATAATGTAAGTGCTGCCGTTTGTTAGCACATGTCTGTGTCAGGAATTATATTAAGGGTCTGCGTATATTCCCCTTAGTCCCCACAGTAACCCTATGGGGTGTGGCTATCATAATCTTCATTTTCAAAATGAGGATACTGAGGCACAAATAGGTTAAGTAACTTACTGAAGGTCACAACCCAATAAATGGCAGCAGAATTCAAGTCCAGGGCTATCAAACTCTAAACCCTGTGCTCTTACCATGTCTGCCTCCTGTAGGTATGTATACTCTTCTGGCTTCACCAGAGCTGGGGCTCAGGAGACATTCACAGGTTATTACAGAGGGGCCTATTACAGTGCTTGGGGGGACCCAGGGCCAGTTTTTCTCAAGAGATGAAGTTGTAGGTCTGAGGTCTGGCCCAGCCTGTTGTGGGGAACGTGGATTCAGGGTGCGGCTGCTCCATCAGTGCCTCAGCTTGGAGTTTTCCATTGGCCTCAAGGAACCCTTGCAAGAGTACATTATTTCTCCACAGGGCTTTCTGGCCACGGATTTGCAAGCTGAAGCTCTCTGCAAACTCAATAAGAGAGTAAAAGCCACAATCGAGCAGTTTATGAAGATCTTGGAGGAGATTGACACACTGGTGAGTAAATATTTACCTGAGAAAAACGAGTTTCCTTTGACTATGTTTTAGTCAGTTTTACTCTTTTGGTAACACAGCCTTACTGTCTGAGGATATGGAGCTCCTGCTATGTGCCAGACACAGCTAGGTTCGGGGTGAACGCATAGAAGGATAAGACAGTTCCTGATTTCTAGGCACCTACATCCCACCAACACAGGGCTTTTGTCATTTTTATTAATGTGTGCTAGTAGCACCCAGTCCTCGTGAAGCCGGGCTCCAAATGGTCCATGGTCTCTTGGTCAGAGAAACACAGGCTTCACTTTCTGATACATTACTGATACTCCACTTAGCTCATTACCTGTACAGAATTCAATCAGACCCAGTTCTTGGGAGGCTGTTGGGAATCATTGATGCCATGTTCCCTTTTACAGATACTGATGATAATGATATTTCTGGCCTGATTCCTCATTCTTTTTTTTTTTTTTTTTTTTTTAGACAGAGGGGAAGGGAGTAGAAAAAGAGAGGGAAAGAAACATTGATGTGTAGTTGCCTCTCATGTGCCCCCTACTGGGGACCTGGCCCACAACCCAGGCATGTGTCCTGACTGGGCATCAAACTGGTGACCCTTTGGTTTGCAGGCTGGTGCTCAATCCATTGAGTCACACCAGCCAGGGCTGATGCCTCATTCTTGAGGGTGAGCTATTCTGCTTGGGATTCGGTATGGGGGTTGAGGAAGGTTGTAAAGAAGATGCAGAAGGTGCTTTTCCCTGCCACAGTGAACTCATGGTATGGCCACAACATTGTATCCATACATAGGAAACAGTGAAAGAGCAAAGTCTATGTTAAAGATCAGTTTCTATGGCCCAGGCGCTGAGAACAAAGGGAGCTTTTATAAGGCCAAGAGCCATGGAAGGGTGGTGGAGGATATAGGCTCAGAGAAATGATTCCTGAGAATGTGTGTCTCATTCACACTGGTGACCTATGACCTATTGTATTTGGTGTACTCTGGGTATTTCTGGTGTGTTCTTATGTCATTTTCAAAGATAATTATTTATGTGTCAACTTATTCTTCCATAGATTCTGCCAGAAAATTTCAAAGACAGTAGACTGAAAAGGAAGGGTTTGGTGAAAAGGGTTCAGGTGAGTTCTGTGGTAGAGCATTACAAAGGGTAAAATGTTGGTGACTGTGTTGATCTGTTCAAAGAAGGGTATAGAAGTGTGTGCGGCTTTTTTTGTTGTTGTTGTTGTTACTCAGCCTTCAACACAAACCCAGAATATTAGAATTTAAACTAATTGGGAAGGAAGATCACTGGAAAGCAGATGGGGTGGACACATTCATATGTACAGTGCCTCCTGAAATGGTATAGTTGCAGCATCAAGACTTCTGTTGTCACCACCCTTTTGGGGGTTATGGGCCTTGGTCAGAAACCCTGGTCCTATGCATCCCTCCTCCTCCTGTCCTTACTTTGGAGCCCAGGCCGTCCCTGCACAGCCTGTTTTATCATGAGTCAGTCACCCGTAGGTTTCCCAGAATGGTTGAGCAGAGCCTTGGGGTTGGCTAGCTCTGGGTGGACCCTCACTGTCATGCGTGGATCTTTCAGGCATTCCTAGCTGAGTGTGACACAGTGGAGCAGAACATCTGCCAGGAGACGGAGCGGCTGCAATCCACAAACTTGGCCCTGGCCAAGTGAGGTGAGGCAGAGAGAGGCCGTTCTACCTTGAAGACAGTTTCACCAGCTCTGCCCCGTCTGGAACAGAAATTACCTGATTTCTCCAGGGTTGCTGGGGTCCATTTGCCAGTTGCCAGTTTTCCTTCTCCTACATCTGTTCTCAAAGAACAAGTATTGTCTTTACAATCCTAAGTAGAGCTCTTGTCTGTTTTCCCATTTTGTCTCTGTGTGGCTGTGCTGGCCACCAGCTCACCTTGTCTGGGGAGGGCCCAAGTCTTCCAGGTCTTTTGACCTTTGGGTGCTTTCATTTGTCCTGGGGTAGTTTGGGTTTTTATAGGCCACCTTGGTCTTCAGATACATGAGGACTTTTTGCCCTTGTGATCCTCCCAAGTGTCCCTGCAAAGCCACAGGCAGTAGGTCTCGGGGGGCTGATGTCCCCAAACAAATCTGTAGAAGGTTAGAACGCAGTGCTGATGGAGTCTCTGCTTGAAACCAAGTCAGAATCACAGCTTAGGAAGGTCAGAGTGGGGAGCAGAATGAGTACAGCAAGCAGATGGGGAAGACAACCATAAGCTTCTCAGGAGCTCCTTCCAAGGCATTTCCATTACCTGTACTGTCCCGAGATCTGTGTTTCCTTCAAAGCTGTTCCTGTGTGTCTGGTGGCCTTCTCTACCCCTCCACCCACTGTTTTTAAATAATAGTTTGTATACACATCAGCAAGCAGAAGAGTGTTTAAGCTTTTTTTTTTTTTAATGAAGTATAAGAGGCAAAAGGCCCTGTGGTTCTAGTCGTAACTTTAATAAAATCAAGAGTGGCCGTGCATGCTAGAACCCTTAAACTGGTCAGCTGCTGTCACCCCAGGAAACAGATGGGCTCTTGATGGACAACTCGGAAGCCAACCTTATTTGGCAGAGAGGACATCAGTGAAGCCCCAGGAATTTAGGACTGTATGGGTGGGACTAAGACAAGGTGATGATGGGGTGGCCAAGTGGATGAGGCTCAGGGCCCGGCCCAGCCCACCACCAACTGCAGTCAGAACAATTCAGTACTTAGGTGTTTTTATGTAGTAGCTGTGTTGCCTTGGGTCACAAATTGAATGAAAAGTTACTGTATGCCAGATACTATTTTAAGTACTTTAGATGTATTAGTCGTTTAATCCTCAGACAACCTAGGGGTAGACAGATACTAACCCATGTTAGAGGTGAGGAGGCTGAGAGAATTTAGGTAATTTGCTGAAGTCATAGAGTAACTGACAAAGCCAGGACACCAAGGCGGGCAGTTTGATTCAGAGCACATGCTCTTAATCTCTACTGTGCCACCTCCCCATCGACAGGGGTGCATGTCCTCATTTTCTCTTCCTCACCCTCCTTATCTCCCATGTTGGTTTTTCCACTTCCTCTCTGGTCCTCTCCAATTCATTCTCCACAGAGCACTGTGAATAATTATAAAGTACAAATCCTATCGTGTTGGTCCCCTGCTTAAAAACCTCCAATGGCTTCCCATTTCTTTGAAAATAGAGGTCAAAGTCCTTACTCTCTGCCCTCTCCTATTTCATCTCAGACCACCCTCCTATTTGCTGCCTGTGGTTGGCCACTCTGGTCTTCACCCAGGTCCTCATATGCTCTGTACCCTCTGCTGCCCTGGGGTCTTTGCATACACTCTTCCCCTGTTGGGACAGCTCCACGTCACCCTTCCACCACTGCCGTCCCTTTCCTAGGTAACTCCTATTTATCTTTCAAAACTGAACTCAATGCCTTTTTCATGGACTGAGAACATATCAAGGCCCCGTCATAGCTTGCCGTAACTTTTCTTTCACAGCATGTATCATAGTCCGTGATGATTTATTTATGGGATTGTTTAATTTAATATTTGCCTTTTATACTTGACTGTAAGTTCCTTGGGTTAAGGAGCTTCTCTGTCTTGTTAACACTGTATTTCAAACACGTTGTCTGGTTTATAGTAGATGCTCAATAAATATTTGGAGAATGAATGAATGAACATTGAACACACATCCCAACAGTGAAATTCCCACAGCTGCACTCAGCCACTGAAGCTCTGTCAGCCCTGAAATTTACAGCAGCAACAACCATTGTTTTATTTAAAGGTTGAGAAAAGAGGCCCTAAGGCATGGGCTACCTGGCAGATGTGCAGGATGGTACCTGGGGCCTGGTCACACAGCTCACCCATCCACAGGGTGGCTTTGCCTGTGAACAGCAAGAGAACATTGCTTCTCAGTTGCCCACTTTCCTGGGACGTGATAAGCCCTACTGCAGGGGAGTACATGGAGCCCTGTGATCCCAAAAACTTTCTTCAGCCTCACAGAACCAGAAGATGTCTTCCACAAATGGACTATTTATATTTAGTCAACGATTTCTCATTATCCTCAGGCATAATTAAAGATTACCTCCTGTGAGAAACCCTTCTTCATCTAGTAGTTAGGCCTCTTCGTTGAAAGAACCTGAAACTTAATTTCAAGGACATTGTCAAAATGGAAAGTTTGTCAGAATTTCAAGTTACCCCATGTAACTTTGGGAAGTTCAAAGACAACTGGGCTCCAGGAATTCAAACACTGCCTGGAATCGCTCTGTACCTTTCTTCATTTGTCAGCATCATTCTCTCAGTCCTGCTTCCATGAAGTAGGAAACAGCTGCCAGCAGTCCCTACTTTATACATCTTACAGCTTCACTGCCAGAAAGGAACTGGCTCTGTTTTCTTGTTTCCAATTTGAAAAATCCTGAGGAATCTTTTGGCCGAATCAGCCATGCCTGGAGCAGCAGAGTTACGTTACAGATAGGGCCTTTAAGGGCCCACACTTGGATTTCAGGGTGGTTCCCAGAGGCAGGGCCACAGTTTCCCCATCTGTAAAGTAGGGAATTAGGTATTTTTTCCACTGTGACACATTGCTCAAGCAGAATCTGTGACTCCTCGTTGTGTGAGTGGAAGCCTGGGAGAGAATGGCCACTGAGAAGTGTGGCTGAGCTATGCCACCTGTGTGTAAGACAGGCGTCCCACGTAGAGCAGAGACTCTTAGATGTCACAAATATCTACTCTTTCTATAAGTGAACGCCTAATTTTCAGCTTAGCACATGGACAAACAGCTCAAAACTATTTCCCAGTGTCCGTGCCCTAGCATGGATAAGAGATGACTACATTTTTTTAATCTTCACCAAAGGATATGTTTATTGATTTTAGAGGAAGGGAGAGCGAGAAGCAGAAACATGGATGTGAGAAACATTGATTGGTTACCTCCCACATGTGCCCAGGCTGGAGATTGAACCTGCGACCTTTGGTGTATGAGATGATGCTCCAACCAACCGAGACACGCAGCCAGGACTAATGTGTACATCTTATCGGAAGCATTTCCAGAGGCATTAATTTGCCCTTCCTTCCTGAGGGCTGGATGTAGACATGATGGCTGGATTTGGAGCAGCTGCCTTGGACCTTGAAGTAGAAACTGTTGAGGGCAGAGTAAACATAGAAGGAGCATGGAGTTGGCTTACTAGATAGGTCTACGTGAAGGAAATGAACTTCTGTCGAAGCCGCAGTTATTTCAGCTTTTCAGTCTCTGACAGCCAAAATTAATCTTACATTATTCATTCGCAGGTGGGAAGTGAGATTCTCTTGTCTGTAGCAATGGAAGGGCCTGTCGATGACCTCCCATAATAGTTGTGAATCTATAAGCAGCAGTTCGTGCTTAGGTTCCCATTTCTGTGGTTCAGGGAATATTGGTTCCTGCCTTCCTTGCTCCAACTTTTCCTTTTGGACCATGGCACGCGTTTTCCCACGTGAAAATGCTTCCACTTGGCCAGGCCCCTCCACACTCTTCCCCCACCAGCATTATCAAGAGGTTCATCCTGTAGGCTTTGACCTAGAGAGTGGGCACTTGGCATATACCGTAGGCCAGGGCCTCTGCGGGCCGTTGCGTGAGTGCACGTGTGCTGTGTGTGCATGGGGCTGTGTCTAATGTCAACATATTTAACAGCCAGTCAGAGTGGATGTTGACCAAAAGAAAGTCGAGTCAAGTCATCCTGCTGTGGGTGGGTAGGGTGCGGGGGACATCAAGGGCTTGGGGCAGCATCTGTTTCAACTATTACCCATTTCAGTATTTTAATGAGCACTTCTGTTGTACTGTGTGCATTACTTGGATATCAGCTGTGGTTGTGTGTGTATGTGTGAGAGAGAGAACTTGGGGTGCCAGAGAGAAAAGCCATGAGGGGTTGTGGGACCCTCACAAAGGCTTCTGAAGCTGGGCCAAGCACCCTGGCAGTGGCAGAAGGTGTAGGTCTCACCCAGGTTCTGGACCTGAGTCACACAAGAGCACTGGGCAGAGAGAGTCCTAAGGCCAGGGGCTGGCCTCTTAGAACCCTGACCTCAGAGAGGGAAACAAATACCTGGGATCTCTAGGGGGACGTGTGACAGAGTGGAGCGCTGGAGCGATGGAGAGGATATTAATTCAGAGTGAGGAGGATGGGGCCAGTTCCACCATACCGCCTCCACAGCCACCTCCCCTGAGGCCCCAGACATACTGGCCCACTTGATGGGGTTGGGCTGGATCTTTTATTTCATGTCACATCCTTTTCACTCCCACCACTGTTCTCCAGCCTGAAGCTCATGGCTTAGGTTCCTGTGGGATCAGCATTCGCCATCCTTCACGATCTGGATGTCCTGTTTGGTTTTTCTAGAATCACAGGAGACAGGAATGAGGCCACCTCCTCAGGAACTGTAATGTACCCTTCAGGGACCTTGGCACAGTCCATCCAAACACCCTGCTGAGCCTTACCCACCCACTCAGTGTATGGTGCAAGGCGGACCCTGGGGGTGCCTAGGCACATCTTTTTACAGCTTTTCCCTCTTACACACCCTCCCCTGGGAGATTTCAGCTTGCTAGGGTTTCAACCACCACTGTGTGCTGATGGCTGCAGATCTATTTCTGGCCCAGACTTCTGTCCTAAACTCCAGCCACATCTCCACTGGGATGTCCCAGAGGCTCAACTATCCACAGACATCACCATCCCACGACCTGCTATACCCCCCTCATCCTGACATATGGCACCACCAACCAGCCCAGCCCACAAGTTAGAAACCAGCATTTTCTAAGTAGGCCTGTCCTGCTGCTCTCCTGCATGTCTGTCTAGAGCATTGTAGCTCCCAAAGGCTTTCTTCTCTTCCGTGATCTCACTTAGCCCTGGGCTGTTCAAGCATCATATTTACTGAAGACATGAGAGCAAAAGGATGAGCAGACATATCAAGGTCATGTTTTGGCCCTGCCTACCTCTCTACACTCATTCCTTGCTTTTCCCCTATTATCCTTTAAACTGTATACTCTAGCATATCCAACTTGTATTTTCTCATATGTAAACTTTCTCTTCTAGAACTTTTCACACTCATTTCTCCACTTGGAATTACCTTCCCTTGTTCCTTCATTTTCCTAGCTGATTCTTCTCCATCAGAGCTGGGAAGTGTTCCCTGCCCTTGCCCTGTACCCACAAACCCTGTGCATGCCCATCTGATACTGCAGCACTCTAGGCTGCAGTTGGCTAACCATCACCTTGGCTCCCCCCCTTAGAGTGACTATATGCCTCAGGAGGCCAGTCATGCCGTTGAGCTTATTATGTATCCCCAGTGCCTAGCACATAGTAGGTGCTCAATAAATAATTGCTAGCTGGATGAATAAATGAACAAAAGAGATCACCTAGTCAGTTGGGTCAGAACAAGGAAAAGAACCCAGGGTTCCTGCTTTCACAACCCCCCACAAGCTAAGCCTTCTGCTTTAAACCATGTGCATGGACTACACTTGTGCCCATTCTCTTAAGGATAAATACTGGAGGATTCTACTCAGGTCAAGAGCATATGAAGGAGGAAGCAGTTCAACTCTTGTTCCTATCAGACGTGTAGGTCCCAGAGATGGGACCCACACAAGCAAGCACAGGGAAAGTGGGGAGTGGACTTACAACCGGGTTAAGCAAAGCTGGCATTCACTCTCATATGTGATCCCGTCAGTGCCGCAGACCAGGTTGAATGTCTGGGGACATTTTGGTAATTCCCTCATATGATCACAGATGGGCTGTGAAAAAGAAGATGGGAGGGAGGGCACGGGGATTCAGAGGCAGTGAGCAGGAACCCAGGGGCTCTGTTTTGGAGCCAGAGGGTCCTCTAGGAGGAGTCAGATTCAAGAAGGCCCCAGTGTGGATCCAGTGAGCATGAAACCAACCACTCAGGGCCCCTTGGCATGATTGCTTGTTTGTGTTAATCCTTTATCATGTGTGGCTGTGGCTATGTGTACATTAGTGTGTACCTGTGTCTGCTGAGCCCAACTATACAGACATCCAAGCATGTGCCTGTATTTATGTGTGTGGAGTATGTGTTGTCAAGCTCCTGGGGATGTGTTCGTATAATCCTCAGAGGATCTCACTGGAACCTCTGCTGCTGGCCCCATTGAGGACCCCAGGAGATAGAATCACACATCATTCCCAGGAGGCTTCTCTTCCCCTGGGGCTCCTGAGCTCACCTTAGACTGCAAGACCTATCTGGTCCCTGGTGTGGGAAGGCTGGAGAAAAAGACAGGGTTTGGGACTTAACCGAGGCTCAGTCTGAAAGGGTTTCAGACATAGAGCAAGTGGAGCTGGATTCTTATGGGTGACAGTGAAGATACCGAGGCTGCTGGATGGGAAGGTGGCTTTGAGCCTCTCATTATCTATGTGAAGGGAGGGTTGAGGGTCTCAAGGAGGCCAACACCACTGCCTTGGGATCACTGGGGACATCAGGCCCACGGCCAAGGTGGAATCAGGGTTCAAGGACAACTTGGTGTCTACACATCAGAGCAAAGGGATGGATGGTGGGGTGTGGTTGGGGGAGGCTGGCATCTCTACAGGGCCATTCAGTGTGCCAGGGTCACCTTTTTGGCCTGAACCCTGTGGCCTATCCGTCTGCACCACACAAAGCAGAGAGTGCACCTGATCCTGCTTCACCTGGGCAGGGGGGGTCTCACTGCTGGCAGAGGCCTTGGAGATCAGATTGGGGCAGGTCTCTTGAGGGCTCTGATGCCTGGTTTGGGACTTTGGCAAAGGGGCTGGACCTGCTCAGCCCGGAAGGGCTGACTGGGGAACATACAGGTTCAGGAGACCACCCTGGCCACCATGGAGCCCATGGGGGTTATCTGAGCAGAGTATAAAGGAAAAAACTGCTAGCTTTCCAGCGTGGATGGGAGGGCTCCCCTCTGCAGAGGAAGGGCCAGAACTGCAAGCAGCTGCCTTACCATTCTGAAGAAGATAGGCTCTTCTGCCGACACTGGCACTTCTGAAAGGCAAAACAGCAAGAATTAGGTGATATCAACTCTAGGCCCCAGGTCTAAGCATCTGAGGACCTGTTCCAGCCACTATCCAATCTCAAATTCTTCAAGGAAAGGTAGCAAGTAACCAGACAATGAGGCTCCCAGAAAGCTGACATGACCTTGGGTTACATGAACAGAGACAGCAAGTCCAGAATTAGGAAAAGTCTAGCCTGTTCCTTGGTTAAATTCCAGTGGAATTACAGCCCATGTAATAATAAAAATAACAGTTCGTTAGCATGTGTCAAGCACAGAGAATACATGACCTTACTGCTCTTCACACCTCTCACTGGTATGCAACAGGGAGAAAAGGAGCCGGCAGTGGGCGCTGTGGTCTGCTACTTAGATCCCGCCCGCAGGGCTGAGGCAATCGCTTCCTCAGCTGCCAAGAGCATTGGTCGCTCACAGGGAGTCCCTCCCTAGGAATTACCCTCAGGAAATGGAGCTTCCTCACTCAAGGTCACGTCCCCTGCCCAGGTACAATGCCCGAACCCCTCATCTCTGTTTAGAACAATGCTGGAGAGCCTCCCCAGCTTCAAAGCTCCCTGCAGGATGTTGGAGGCCTCTGCCACTGCATGGCAGTCAACTTCCCTCTTCCCTCATGGGCGTCACCCCCATGCACACTCCTCCATAAACTGCATGCAGATCTGAGTCCATTTCCTGGGGAGTTCAATGAACGTATAAAGGAGGCTTGGAGGTAAAGCAATGCAGTTTTGTTAAGGCGCAGAGCTGGGATTTGCACACGGGGCTGTTACTCCCCAACCTGGCTCTCTTCCCACACACACAGGTGTGCCCCATGGCCCCTCAAGTTCTGAATGAATAGCTTAAAGGACCTGAGCAAATCCTGCCGTGACTGGCCAGTATGATGGGCGATGAGGGGACAGGAGCCATGTCGTAACCCCCACAGGTGGGAGGAAAGGTGTTTATGTGAATTGGAGAAGGGCAGCATGCTTCCTCAAATTTCTAGGGACTGTCTTGAGGCCAAGGGAGAGATGAGTGCTTCTCAACCTCCTAGGGAAGAGCCCATCCATACAAGGAGGCCTCAGGGAGGCAGGTTGGGTTCCAGAATGTTCTCTCAATGGCAGCTATGCTTCAGTGAAGGGGGCCATCGCGAAGTGGAGGGTTCTCCATCACTAGAGGTGTGCAAGGCACTGTGGTTTTACCTTCTCTTGGGAATGCTATTAGAAGAGATTTCCAAGGTGGAGAGGGGAAAGGGAGCTAAGACTGAGTGACCTGTGGTGCGCTCTCTAAGCCTGCAATATTGGGGCATCTAAATGCAAATCTAGCCTTGTCCTCACTCTGCCCCCAAACCCTTCCAGGTCGTAATTGCCCAAACTGGAAATGATCAAATGTCCTTCAACAGGAGAGTGGATAAACTATGATACACACATACAGTTGGATACAACTTAGCAATAAAACTGAGCAAACAACTGATAATACAACAACATGGCTGAATCCCCAAAATATGCTGAGCCAAAGAAGCCAGATACAAAAGACTACATACTGTATGGATGGGGCACCTTGGGCCAAGGTCAAGGGCAGCCTTGGGGGTAAAGGAAACTTTCTCTGTGACATTCTAGAATAATCTATGGTAGAATAAAGAGCAGTGGCTGTTGCCTCTGGGGATGGGGTGGGGGTGAGGACTGACTGATGTGGAAATTTCCCTCTCCTTTTTTTTTTGACAGAAAGATAGAAATTTTCTATATATTGATAGGGGTCTGGGTCACAGAGTTACATGCAGTGTCAAAAATCATTGAATGATAATCTCCAGGGCAGGACAGATTGTGTTAGCTGGGTTGAGAGTCTCAGATGTGGCACCAGCCTACCCCTGACAGTTCTATGGTTCTCTAGGGGGAGGGCTCAGAGAAGGGACAGTGGCCTCTGCTCGCCTTGATGCCAGACACTTCAGTTCCTCCCAGTATGTCACTGGTGCCTTTCAAGCTGCTGTCTCCGTGCTAGAGCTCAGAGGGAGTGGGTCCGACAGACATGGGTGAGGAACAGAGTCGGAGCTCACAGGAAGACATGCCCTTCGAAGGCACCTGTCTTTCTTGATTCTGCTTCTTGAACAAGTCTGGCACTGCCTCGCAGACCTTCCTCAGAGCCACTGTCAGAAAAGCAAACTTCTTATGGTTGGACTCAGAAAAAAAAAAAAAAAGGAAAAAAATCATCGAGTAAAATTCATTGAAGGTAAGAATTGTGCATTTCATAGTAACTGTTAGGGGGCCAAAAAAATGCATTAAAAACTATGAAGTCCTCCCATGGCTGACTGTCATGGTCACTAAGCTCCTTCGTTTCATGCTCAGGGCCCTGTACGAGCTGCTGCCACCTTCCTCCCGGGCTCACTTTGCAGTCCCCCTCTCCCTGTCCCTGCACCCCAGCTGTTCCTCTCAGCCTGCTTGTCCTGAGACAGGCCCTACGTTGGCTCCTGCTGTTCCCTCTGCCCAAAATGTCCTTGTTCCCCTTCTCTTCCTATTGACTCATAGCCTTTTTCAAGGCTCAGATGCACGTTCCAGAGAAGCCTTCCCTCATGTCCCCCAGGATTTCCTGAGCAGGCCTGGATTCAGGCGTCTGTTTAGTTTGTTTGCTCTGCTCTGACAAAAAACACCACATACTAGGTGACTTATAAAAAACAAACACTGGGGAGCATTTGAGACCTTGCTCCCCAGCTTATGTGGTCAGTTTGGCTCAAATACACTCATCAACAATTTTTTTTTTTAATTAACAATAAAAAAGCAAACATTTCTCACAGTGCTGGAGGCAGGAAGTTCAAGATCATGGCACCAGCAGACCTGGTGTCTGGTAAGGGCCCTCTCCCTGGCTCATAGCCTGTGCCTTTTGACTGTGTTCTCAGCGGTGGGATGGTCTAGGGAGCCCTCTGGGTCTCTCATTTTATAAGGCTGCTAATCTGATTCAGGAGGGCTCCGACCGCAGGACGTACCTTCTAATACCATCACCTTGGGGGTTAGCACTTCAGCATATGAGTTTGAGGTGAGGGCACAAACATTCAGACCATATCAGCTTCTTCCACGCCACCACATGCTGTTCCAGTGGGTCACTCCTGCCATCCTATAGGCCTGAGCTCCTTGGGGCTCCCTTGTCTTCGCCTCCATGTGGCAATGCCCCCACATGGCAATGTTGAGTACATTGTGGGGGAGAGTTCAGAACACTGTGGTGTCAAGAGTTTCTTCCTGGAGGATGTGGGGAGGAGTTGTATTTACCCCCAGGCTGCCCTTGACCTTGGCCCAAGGTATCCCCTCCTCACTCAGCCATGGCAGGAATCTGAAATGGTCTTCAGGGCAGGCCTCCTCAGTGTTCCCTGCAGAAGAAATTCTCAGGGAAAGGAAGCCAGGCTGGGAGTAAGCAGGCCTTGCCGGGCCAGAGGCCCAGACCCATTCTCTTGAGGGCCCAGCCTCTGAGTCTGTGTCCTAGCTGGGAAATGGTATTGGGACTGGCCATCAGGTCAATACTGGGCCTTGAGGTCCTGCCAGGCCTTGTCCTGTAACATCATAGCTTTGTCCAGGTGGGTCTCGAGTAGTCTCCCTGATTCCCCCTTCAGTCTGTTCTCAGTAGTAACCAGAATGATCTTTTCACCACATAACTCCGCCCAAAACTCTTCAGTGCCTCCCATTTCACTCAGAGGAAAAGCCAATTCACATTGGCCTTCAAGGCTGTACCCTCTCTAATTGCCGGTTGCCTCTATTACTCCCCTCCCATCACACTAAACCCTGCCTCTCACTCCCCAGCAACTGGCTTCCTTGCCGGACCTCAAACACTCCAGGCATGCTACCTCAGGGCCTTTGCACTCCTGTTTCCTCTGCCTGAACCTCCTTCTTCCAGATATTCACACGGCTCACTCCCTCACCTCCTTCAAATTTTGTCCAAACAGCATCTGAGGGAAAACTCTGCTGATTTATCATTACAACCCCTTCCCAGTCTCCATCGCCCTGCTCCACGTTTTTTCCATTAGCCTGTATCATCGCTGATATACTATTTAACATATATTACACCTATCTTGTTTATTGTCTATTCCCCCCACCATCACCCCACTGGATTTAAGCTCCATCATGGAAGTTCATTCTTCGTTTTGCTCACCGATATGTCTTAAAGGCCCAGAACAATGCCTTATACTCAGCACGTGTGGGACTGCCGAGGTGACCCAGGCCCTGAGGAGGCCCCACTCCAGCTGCACATGTTCAATCCAGGGCAAATACCCCCAGAAAGAGGGCTCCCATGCGCTCACATGGCTGCTGTCAGTCCCACAGCACTAGCCTGCCAGAATAGCTGAAAGCTCAGAGGACCTAGGCCAGGCTTCTTTCAGGACCCACCAGCCTGCAGCCAGCAGACTTTCCTATCATCTTGGAGATGATAGGCCTGCTCCTTTCTGCCTCCCTGATCTCCAACCCAGTAGTTGCTCAGTGCAGCCTTGAACTAGAACAATCTCCTACTTTACAGCTAGAAAAACGTAGGCCCAAGAGGGGAAAGGATTTTTGCAATTCTTGGCCAGAGTCAGGAATTGAACCTTGATTTTCTTTCTCCTAATCCAGGATTTTCCCCCCACATGGTGGAGGGGTGCAGAAAAAAAAGTCATATGCAGAAAACTGAGGACTCAGGGTGCCCTAAGCCCAGCCTCTGCCCCTACTCCCAGCTCACCTACCAAGGCCAAGCCACAGAATCCAAGCTCTGCCAACTCACCCCTGTCCACAATGAGAAGGGCAGCCAAGGCTAGGGCGACCACACACAGACGGATGGCCATGCTGCTCCTGGGCTGGCGTGGGCTCAGCTAGCTGCAGCCTGGGCCAGGGGGGAAATGGGAGCCTATTTATAGTGCTGATCTCTACCTTTATCTTATCTGGGGCCAGAGGGAGAGGCCAGGAGTGCCGCCCAGAGGTAATCTCTGCAACCTGGCATCTGGAGAGAGCTTTCTCTGGGCAGAGATGCTGCGCTGTGGTGGGGTGGGACTTGGGACTAC